TGAGTAAACTCCGGGAGTTGGTGATGGACAGGGAGGCCTGGCGAGCTGCGATTCATGGGGTCGCAAAGAGTCGGACATGACTGAGTGACTGGACTGAGTGACTGAACTGATATATATACATAATATATATAGCTATACCTGTTTCACATTGCTATACGGCAGAAACTGTTGTGGAATCTGGAGTTCCAAAACACACCTTCAAGGACTCTCAAGACAGTGGAATACATTTATTACACCAGCGAGTCCAAGGGGAATCAGTTCCCAACAAGGAACCCTGATGTTTCTGAGGCCCAGTTTTATACCCACTGCTATGTGATTGGTTACATGTTAGCAACCTCTGTTGTATATGACTGAGTTTTACAAGTAGGTGCTAGGAGAACAATTAAGGTGCAAGGGGGGGGACACAGATTATACATCATGGGGGGATGTCTCCATGGTTAACGTAACAGGGGCAGCCTGTCCTCAACTACAATCTCCGTTTGCCATCTGTAGGACGGGAAGTCTCCAGGAGACCTGGTTTTCATTAGCAATGGTTTCCTCACTCTTGGGCAGGGTTCAGGCCCAGTTTACATCCTGTCTTTAAGATGGATGACAGGCTTCAAGATGGAGTCTCTCCTGCTTTCCTCACATTGGCCCCAACAAAAGTAACACAACATTATAAAGCAATTATCCTCCAAGTAAACAAATAGATAGAAACCTCCTGAAAGGTTGTTGCTGAGCTTTGAAAGAGGCTGGGATTCTTGGCCTCCAGAGGAGAGGAATTCAACCCAGGGCCAGTAACGAGGCTTGACTGTTCAGAGCTTTTGTGTGATAAAGTTTAATTGAAGTATAAAAGAGATAGACAAAGGTTCTAACATAGAAATCAGAAGGAGGCAGAAAGCGTGCCCCCTGCTAGTCTACAGCAGTATGTTGTATTCCTATCAGCAGGATGTTAATTAGAGAAGGGAAATGTCTCAAAACTCGGAGTGGTATCAGGCTCCTTACCCACAACATACATTTTGAGATAACATTGGCACAAGGTGACTTGTCTCAGGCCATAAAATGATTGACATGAATTTTGAAGAATGGCAGGTTTCCAAGCAAAGACATTGTCTCATTAACATAACTTAAGAGAACATTTGCAAGAGTAAAACATACTGGTTTGTCAAATGGGTTCTGAGTCTTAGGTAGAACCAACTTGAAGAAAGAGTGTTCAGTTCAGTTCAGTTGCTCAGTCATGTCTGACTCTTTGTGACCCCATGGACTGCAGCATGCCAGGCCTGGACCAAACACCAACTCCCGGAGTTTACTCAAACTCATATCCGTTGTCAGTGATTCCTTCCAACCATCTCATCCTCTGTTGTCCCCTTCTCCTCCCATCCCCTTTCCAAGCATCAGGGTCTTTTCCAATAGGTCAGTCCTTTGCATCAGGTGGCCAAAGTATTGCAGCTTCAGCTTCAGCATCAGTGCTTCCAATGAACAGCCAGGACTGATCTCTAGGATAGGCTGGTTGGATCTCCTGCTGTCCAAAGGACTCTCAAGAGTTCTCCAACACCACAGTTCAAAAGCATCAATTCTTTGGTGCTCAGGTTTCTTTATAGTCCAACTCTCACATCCATACATGACTATGGAAAAACCATAGCTTTAACTATACAGACCTTTGATAGCAAAGTAATGTCTCTGCTTTTTAACATGCTGTCTTGGCTGGTCATAACTTTCCTTCCAAGGAGCAAGCATCTTTTAATTTCATGGCTCCAGTCACCACCTGCAGTGATTTTGGAGCCCCCCCAAAATAAAGTCTGTCACTGTTTCCATTGTTTTCCCATCTATTTGCCATGAAGTGATGGGACTGCATGCCATGAGCTTAGTTTTCTGAATGCTGAGCTTTAAGCCAACTTTTTCACTTTCCTCTTTCACTTTCATCAAGAGGCTCTTTAGTTCTTCTTTGCTTTCTGCCATAAGGGTGGTGTCATCTGTATATCTGAGGTTATTGATATTTCTCCCAGTTATCTTGATTCCAGCTTGTGCTTCATCCAGTCCAGCATTTCTCATGATGTACTCTGCTTATAAGTTAAATAAGCAGGGTGACAATATACAGCCTGATGTACACCTTTCCTGATTTGGAACCAGTCTGTTGTTCCATGTCCAGTTCTAACTGTTGCTTCTTGACTTGCATACAGATTTCTCAGGAGGCAGGTCGGTGGTCTGGTATTCCCATCTCTTTAAGAATTTTCCACNACCTTTCCTGATTTGGAACCAGTCTGTTGTTCCATGTCCAGTTCTAACTGTTGCTTCTTGACTTGCATACAGATTTCTCAGGAGGCAGGTCGGTGGTCTGGTATTCCCATCTCTTTAAGAATTTTTCACAGTTGGTTGTGATCCACACAGTCAAATCCTTTGGCATAGTCAATAAAGCAGAAGTAGATGTTTTTCTGGAACTCTCTTGCTTTCTCAATGATCCAACGGATGTTGGCAATTTGATCTTTGGTTCCTCTGCCTTTTCTAAATCCAGCTTGAACATCTGGAAGTTCACGGTTCACATTCTGTTGAAGGCTGGCTTGGAGAATTTTGAGCATTGCTTTGCTAGAGTGTGAGATGAGTCCAATTGTGTGGTAGTTTGAGCATTGTTTGGCATTGCCTTTCTTTGGGGTTGGAGTGAAAACGGACCTTTTCCAGTCCTGTGGCCCCTGCTCAGTTTTTCAGATTTGCTGGCATATTGAGTGTAGCACTTTCACAGCATCATCTTTTAGGATCTGAAATAGCTCAACTGGAATTCCATCACCTCCATTAGTTTTGTTTATAGTGATGCTTCCTAGGACCCACTTGACTTCGCATTCCAGGATGTCTGGCTCTAGGTGAGTGATCACACTATCCTGATTATCTGGGTCCTGAAGATCTCTGTCGTGAAGAAAGACAGAGTCTAGGGTAAATACAGACTTCATTAACATAGCTTAAGAAAAACATTTCCATAAGAAAAACGGATTGCTTAGCTCAAGGTTTGAGAAAAGTTAAGTTCAGGTGGAACCAGGTGTAGTCATGGCAACACAGACTCTTAAAAGAAATCTTCTTTTAAATTTGTATAGAGAAGGAAAAAAATCTGACACTTGCAGTTTGCTTCCTCCTGCCGCTTAAGAGAGAGAAAAAAATGTCTAACACTTGCAGCCTACTTTCTCCTTTTGAAGACCCCTAGCCTTCCTGCCTATTACCCTCTCACTCCATCTTTTGTTTGAGCAAAGGTGGGCTCAGGTTACACTGAAGTCTCTCTGTTACTGAAGTAGCCTGAATAAAATGTTTGGCCACCTTAAAAAATAAAAAGTATACTTATATGTATAGCTGAATCACTTTGCTGTACACCGGAAATTAACACAACTATAAATCAACTATCCTTCAACAATTTAAAAAAGGAATGTATGGAAATTTTAAAGTAGATTATAATTACTGCAAGGGAAAGTGAAAGTCGCTCAGTGATGACCGACTCTTTTTCACCCTATGGACTATATAGTTCATGAATTCTCCAGGACAGAATACTGGAGTGGGTAGCCTTTCTCTTCTCTAGGGGATCTTCCCAACCCAGGGATCAAACCCGGGTCTCCCACATTGCAGGCAGATTCTTTATCAGCTGAGCCACAAGGGAAGCCCTAGTACAAGGGAAATGACTGTCTATTATGCAACAAAATCCAGAACTTATTTAAAAAATTAAGTTAATTCAACTACAAACATAAGGCAGGGCAACCAGCAAAATGGGGATGGGAGAACAGGGTAAGGGGATATTCATCGCTCAAAATACAGGATCAAATGAGTATTTCCTTAGTACATGAATAGTTTCTATAGTGAAGAAGAAAATTTGAATCGTCCAAAAGGGAAACCAGGAAAAGGTATAACATGACAATTTACCCAAAGAGGAAATATGGTGAGTCTAAGTAACAAAAAAGTAAAATTAAAATAAGATACCAATGACACAAATCACTTTAATGACATTCTGGGATAGGCTGTGACAAAAAAGAACTTCATGAGGGTGTAAGTTGATACTTGTATGGGGGAGTGAGTGAAGTCACTCAGTGGTGTCTGACTTTGTGACCCAGTGGACTGTAGCCTGCCAGGCTCCTCTGTCCATTGGCTTTTCTAGGCAAGGATACTGGAGTGGGTTAGCATTCCTTTCTCCAGGGGATATTCCCCACCCAGGGATCAACCCCACATCTCCTGTGTCTCCTGCATTGCAAGCAGATTTTTTTTACCCACTGAGCCACTGGGAAAGTCCAACTTCTATGGATTTTATCAACAACTCTGAAATTTAAAATGGGATATCCTTTGGTCCAGTAAATCCCCTTCTACAAAATCATCTCACAAATACAGTTCTTGTGCTCTAAGAAAAAGATTTGTTCACTTAGCACTGTTCATATCAGCAAAACATTCTAAACAACCTACAGATCTATCAATAGTGTTATGGCTAGTTTATGTTCCAGTCATACAATGGAAAATTATAAAGCAATTCAAAAGAATAAGATAAATCTACATACAGTTACATGTTGAGATCCTTTGATGTATTTGGTGAAAAATGTAATCTGCATACACAGATTTTTTTTTTTCTCTTTTGCTCAGTCCTGTCTGACTCTTTGCCACCCCATGGACTATACAGTCCATGTAATTCTCCAGGCTAGAATACTGGAGTGGGTAGCCTTTCCATTCTCCAGGGGATCTTCCCAACCGAGGGATTAAACCCAGGTTTCTCATACACAGACAGTGCAATAATATTTATGAAAAAGATATACTTGCATATATCTGGATATGCTTGCAAATGCAAAGAAAATAGTTTGTAAGGATAAGCTCCCACTTTTTAACACTTCTGTTAAGAAGAGGAATGTGATAGAAGGAAGTTTTAAGACCGGGTTTGGGTTCTTCCTTTCCCACTTTTTATTTTATGCATTTACTTCTAACTTTTTACAAGGAGAACGTTATGCCTGTAAAGAATAAAAATAACAACCTGTGCTGTACCAGGTTCACCAAAGCATTACCTGAGAACCATGCTTCTGGATGATCCTCTCAAAGGTAAAATCTGCCACTTAGAACACAGGGAAAATCTATGGCTTTTGTGTGCAGGTGTGTGTGTGTGAGTGTGTGTGTATACCTGAACAAGCCAAATTCTCCCAGTCAATTGTGAGTCGTGTAAGCACTCATTTCAATCGCCTTTAAGAAGTGTCTCTTGTATTAACTAAATCCTGAGAGGATGGGTGCCAGGGACAAATTGGGGGCTTGTTAGATCATGGCATTTGGTCCCATCACATCATGGCAAATAGGTGGGAAACAATGAAAACAGTGACAGACTTTATTTTGGGGGGCTCCAAAATCACTGCAGATGGTGACTTCAGCTGTGAAATTAAAGGACACTTGCTCCTTGGAAGAAAAGCTATGACCAACCTAGACAGCATATTAAAAAGCAGAGATATTACTTTGCTATCAAAGGTCTGTCTATTCAAAGCTATGGTTTTTCCAGTAGTCATGTATGGATTTGAGAGTTGGACTATAAAGAAAGCTGAGCACCGAAGAATTGATGCTTTTAAACTGTGGTGTTACTGCAATGATGTAAAGTAATTAGCCTCCAACTAATAAAAATAAATGGAAAAAAAAAAAATAAACTGTGGTTTGAATAAGACTCTTGGACAGCAAGGAGATCCAACTAGTCCATCCTAAAGGAAATCAGTACTGAATGTTCTTTGGAAGGACTGATGCTGAAGCTGAAACTCTAATCCTTTGGCCACCTGATGCGAAGAACTGACTCCTTGAAAAAGCCCCTGATGCTGAAAGATTGAAGGCAGGAGAAGAAGGGGACGACAGAGGATGAGATGGTTGGAAGGCATCACCGACTCCATGGACATGAGTTTGAGCAAGCTCCAGGAGCTGGTGAAGGACAGGAGGCCTGGCGTGCTGCAGTCATGGGGTCGTATAGTCGGACACGACTGAGCGACTGAACTGAACTGAACTGAGGCTACCACGTGACCGCCAACGACGTTCTAGCATTCGTGCAGGAGCAGACCAGGTTCAAACAGACTCGCTTAGAACTTCTCTAGGACACCGTTGGGTGGGTGGAGAGGGACGCTCGGTTCAACAGCTCCTTTCTGATCGGTTGTGCTGTTTGAGAGCGTGGTCTTTCCTTCCTGGAAATGAGCCTTAATCCCTCCAACGTTGCACCGAAGGCGGAGCGGGCGGTGGGCAAGAGCCTGGGTCCGAGTCCCAGGGGCCGGGGTCGGAGCTGGGGCCTGACCCGGAGAGAGAGAGCTGGCCGCCCACAGGGCCTGGCCTAGAGCCAGAGCCGCCCTCGGCCTCGGGTCAAGACCGGGAACCGAGCTTGGCTGGACGGCGGGGCAGAACGCAGAACCCCTTCCTGAGTCGCGGCGGAGGCTCCACCAACCTCCGCCAGCATCGCGGTCTGAGAACCAACTGGCCCAGCGGCCCCGCTGCCACACCAACTTCCTGGAGGCGCCGCTGTCCCGGGCCTTCCGGCAGCTGGGCTGGAAGGTGGGCTCGCAACCCTGGATCTTCCTGCTGCTGCCCATGGTGTTAACGGCCGTTCTCGGCACTGGCCTGATTTACCAGCCCCAGGATGAAGACGACGACCTCGAGGAGCAGTACGCACCGATAGGGAGACGCACCAAGGGTGAGTGACGCTTTGTGCAGGACATTTCACCGCCAACGACTCTCTCTCATCTTCTCCGTCTCTAGGAAGAGCACCGAGGTCAATTATGCCTCCATCCTAGGGGTCTCCAACACCAAGACACTGCTGGAGCTGGAAATCTTGGAAGAAATTAGCAAGGTGGAAGGCGGGTTGCAGGCTTTGACTGTGACACAGGACAACGGAACCCAGATCCACTACAGGGAGGTGTGCGCTAAAAACCAGGGCCCCTGTGTCCCCCCCTCCTCCCATCCCACTCTTGTTCGCCTGGAAAAGGAACAAGGGCCTCAACCTGAAAACCACCTCCTTCCCCATCTACAGCCAAGCCGGTCAGATCGTCTACCCGGCCAACATCCTGGGAGGAACTGCCTTAGGCGAGAGGATGGGGCTGAGCCCCAAAGTCATGCGGCTGCAGCGCCACCTGAAGACAGGTGAAGGAGAGGGAAATGAATGTGGAAGGCGTGGATGATCCATTTCCTGAGAAGCCTGGCAGCCTTGAAAAGAGTCTGGCCTTGAAGAAGATCAAGGTACCTAGCGGCTGGGGTTTATAGGGAGGCCAGGAGAAGGTGGGAGAGGCAGGAGGACTTGTTCCAAGCACCACAGCAGCAGCGCTCCCAGATTGTCAGATAGAGCCCTAGACTAGAAGCCAGGTGTGCTCTGCTCTATTTGATCATCAATCCAACTTTCTTAAAATAGCACACTGAAGAAAGCCAGGAAAGAATCTAAAAAAGAGTGGATAAGTGTATAACTGATTCACTTTGCTATACACATGAAACTAACACAACATTGTAAAGCAGCTACACTATAATAATTTTTTAAAAATAAAGTAAAAAGAGATAGGCCCTTAAAAAAAGAAAAAAGAAGAATGCCACAAATCTTAAATCCTTGATAACATTCTGGTTAAAAACACAAATTGTACATTCACAGGGTAGGTCTGTTCAGTGCAGACATTGATCTTCAGGTTTAATTTGGTTTTCTGGTCAAATTACTCTGAAATTCTTACTTCCAGTTTAAGCCTTTGCTATTTCTGGGAGCCCCCTAAACTTTGTTTGGAGTTCATTAGAATAAAAAGACAAAACCTTAAACAAAAGTTCCGTGATGTTTTTGAGAAAGAAAGATGAGCATTTTACAAGTAAATTATAGCATAGCGCCAGGCACATGTTGGCTGTTGAGTAATTTTTGGGCTGGCGAACCGAGTACTCTGAATAAAACTGGTGAAAAGGAGAAGACACCTTCTGGAAAAAGCCTTTTAATTCTCAGTTTCTGAAATGGTGTTTGTGCAGTTAAAAGAGTAAAAGATAACAACCTAATAGAAGTTTAGAAAAAGTCATAATGTCTATAGTAATTAATGCTTTCACAGTTTTGTATAAGATTCAGATTTTGTATTTTCAGGAGTTTTAAACTTTAGATTTTTGAAAGAAACTTTGAAAAGCATGCCAGAGATTTGTGGGAAGAAGCAAATCTTTATTACCTTCTATATTATAAAATAATAATCCATCTATTTTGATATTTTACTGAATTTTAATGTGTAAATCAATAAACTATAGTGTTGTAATATCATATGTAACTCACACAGAATATCAGAATTGAAGGTTATTTACCTGAATATATTTTTGTGGCAGGTCCTCTACTTTACATCACTTTCTAGACAACTGGAATTTGAGCAACTTCTGTGACAGTGGTCCCATTGTTTCACTTGGCATACCTTCTAACCATATTAGTTGCAATTGCATCATGTTAAAGGTGAGACAATTTTATTAAAAAATATTTTTAAATTAAAAATAAATCAAATCAATAATTTAATAATTTAATTTAAATAATAATTTAAATTTGAAAATATTTACTAAAAATATTTTATTGTGTATTACATATAATGTCTAGACATGTCGGGGTAGTATGTAATTTTCTTGGTTCTGTCTCTCCGCAGCAAAGATTTGAAACACAGCGGACCAGTGTTACAGCTCGCTTACAGCTCAGAGTTTTATTCAGCAAGCAAAGGAAAGTACACCCTGGAGGCATGAGGGCAGGCTGACCCCAAAGGGGAGGCTTCAATCCATCTTGGCTTCCCATTTTTATATGTCTCCTCCCTCCTGAGTCTGCCCTATGTAAATTGGGCTAGCCAGGAGGGCTGTTTGTTTCACCTGAGGGTCGTCCTCCGGTTTTCTTTTGTTCCATTTTCGCGTGCTTTTTCCTTTCTTGTCTTTTAGCCACTGCCATTTGGGACTTCTTTTTCCTATTCTAACTATCTAACGTCCCCACCTCAAGAGATGGGAGGTCCAATTCTTTGGGAATTGGGGCGTCGAGCTCTCCCTGGCTACTTCCTGCTGAGGTGGGACGGTGAGGAGAAAAGGGCCTCCCCCTCTTGCTAGTCTGAAGCCTCAGAGTCCTTATAGTGGTGTCCATCTAAGAGTGAGTGATATTTTCCGTGGTTGGGTGTAGTTTTATATATCCTTATTGAACTGGCACTGCGTGTTGCAGCTTGTTGGCCTGGGCAGAGACAAAATGGGTTAAACAATCGATTGTACATGGAGCAATCATAAGCGGCATAAATGTGGTGATAACAAGGATTAGTAGGGGCATTAGCCAACTCCAAATTCCCCGTCGCCAGGAGAAGAGCCCCCAAAGAGAGATTGTAGCTACCCTGAGAACTCTGCCGCTCGTTCTTTGAGATCCTGTAGGATCTGAATGTTTTTCGTGAGGACTGTGAGACTTTCTTCAACTTAGCTGGAGGTATTTACCCAGAAACAACACATCTCATTCAAGATGGTTCAAGTCCCTCCTTGTTCAGGGATCAGGAGATCTATCTCTTATCTATTTTGGAGTACAACCCCTGCCAAGCAGTGTTAGCTCTTTAGATCTATCCTGAGAAATCTTATCCCCAGAAACTTAATTTTGGGGATATTCATTACAATGGTACTCATTTGTAGTCCTGAATAGGTATCTGAGATCTCCCAGGGTCTCACAGGTGTATTAACTGTCATCCTGTCTGTTTTGGAGTACAACCCCTGCCAAGCAGTGTTGGCTCTTTAGATCTATCCTGAGAAATCTTATCCCCATAAACTTAATTTTGGGGGTGACCATTAGAATGGCACTCATTTGTAGTTCCGAATAGGCATCTGAGATCTTCCACTCCTGTTTTGCCCCCAGTTCCTTCATCCTACGAGTTTGGCAAGGTTCTATATATTATTTTCCACCAGTCAGGTACTCCTGTCCACTCTCAGCTGGTTTTCTGCATGCACTTCTGTCTCTGAAGGTGTATTGTTTGATGTGTATATGGAGAGAGATGTACTCCATGTCCACCTACTCCTCCACCATCTTGTTCTCTCCTCTCTCAGGATATTTTAAATAACATTTTAAAAGGGTATTTCCAAGCCAAGGAAACATGCCTTTGCTTTTAGTTTATTGACTATTCTTAATAGCGCATTTTCATCAGATTGGGTTGGGCTAATCAGGAATTCTATAATTGGTCTTTGATTTGTTAGTGGCTTTTCAAACTAACTTTCAAAAAAAGGTTAAGAACACTGGGGTAAAAATTTAGACCATGAGGAGCTCCAAATACCATCACAAGAAAACAATCTTAAGAAATGTCCTGAAGATGTATGCTTTAGCTACAGACAGGACATACACCTCTGTTATTGTTGAAACTGGACTTTGTAACACAGTATAGCCTAGCAGATACAATGCCTCAATGGGTTTTCAGTTTCCTGAGGTCTCTGAACTGGAAACAAATCCATAGGAAATGTGAGCAGAAAAGTCAAAAGAAAACCCTATACATATGACAAGATTAAGCATGGCTATGGAATCAAGATTGACATTCCAGAAGGCCATAAATCCCATGAGGCCCATAATCACAGAAGCAATAGCAAAAGTTACCCACAAAGAACACAGGGGATGAAGAATTAACAATAAAGAAACAATGAACTGTTGATGCAACAGTCACATTTTGAACAGTGTTTTCTAATATTGCAGAATACTGATCAAAATATATGAATGCCTGGTTGTATAGCATTAAAGGAACTTCACATTTCTCAGCCATGTCTCGGAACTGGTGTAACATCAGTTTCTTATTGGTTGAAGAAGAAATACTCATGGTTTGAATGAAGGCCTGAGAAGAAGTGATTTCCTGTGATGATGTAATATTAATATTATATTCTCTAAAGAATAGACTCCCTGGATTCCATATGTAAAATAGATAGCCAACAGGAACTTGCTGTGTGGCTCAGGAATTTCCCACCACAAGCATTTCCCAGCACAAGCTCCTCCCTCACATCCCCTTGATCTCTCTGCAGTCAACAGCAGGCCTCGCCCTGGGATTGCTCCACAATCCCTAAACTCCAGCTCCCAGCTGCTGTACCTTCTAGGGACCTGTGTCCCTGTCCAGGGTTTGCATGGCTGCCACAAGGACTGTCTGATTCTCATTCCATTTAGGATGCAACAGACCAGCTGTTTCACTCTCAGCCTTAAGTGTTTCTCCTCTGACTCAGGCAATTGCCCCAGTGTGGGGATCAGACCCCCGCTTCAGTTCTCCCACCAGCCGAGTGCAGGTCCAATTCTCTTAACACTCGTGTTTCCCCCCCCTAGTTCCTTCATCCTACCGAGTTTTGCATGGTTCTGTATATTCTTTTCCACTGGTCAGGTAATCCTGTCTGCTCTCAGCAGGTGTTCTGCATGCACTTCTGTGTCCGAAGGTGTGTTCCTGATGTATCTGTGCAGAGAGGTGTACTCCACGTCCACCCACTCCTCTGCCATCTTGTCCTCTCCCCTCTCAGGATATTTTAAATAACATTTTTTAATGGCACTTCCAAGCCAAGGAAACATGCCTTTGCTTTTAGTCTATTGACTATTCTTAATAGCACGTTTTCATCATACTGGATTGGGCCAATCAGGAATTCTGCAGTTGGTCTTTGTTAGTGGCTTTTCAAACTAACTTTCAAAAAAAGGTTAAGAATACTGGGGTAAAAATTAGACCATGAGCAGCTCCAAATACCATCACAAGAAACAATCTTAAGAAATGTCCTGAAGATGTATTCTTTAGCTGCAGATAGGACACACATCCCTATTATTGTTGAAACTGCCCTTTGTAACACAATGTAGCCTAGCAGATACAATGCCTCAATGGGTTTTCAGTTTACTGAGGGCTCTGAACTGGAAACAAATGCATAAGAAATGTGAGCAGAAAAGTCAAAAGAAAACCCTATACATATGACAAGATTAAGCATGGCTATCCAGAAAGCCATAAAACCCATGATGCCCATAATCACAGAAGCAATAGCGAAAGTTACCCACAAAGAACAGAGGGGATGAGGAATTAACAATAAGGAAACAATGAACATAACTGTTGATGCAACAGTCACATTTTGAACAGTGTTTTCTAATATTGCAGAATACTGATCAAAATATATGAATGCCTGGTTGTATACCATTAGGGGAACTTCACACTTCTCGGCCATGTCTCGGAACTGGTGGAACATCAGTTTCTTATTGAAGAATTTGAATGAAGGCCTGGGAACAAATGATTTCCTGTGATGATGTAATACACATCATGATTAATGTTATGCACAAAAAGTGGAAATTCCATTTAAAAAGTGGGTTTATTGCTTAGAAAACTGTCTTATCATTTATATCTTGATGGCGGTTTTCCATATATTTTATATATTCTTGTAACGAAAACTCTGTAAGGTTTTTATCTACATACTCACTGTTTTCAAAATCTGCCAGATGACATTTTTTCCAATTTTTGCCTCGTTTCTTCATCCCAGTAGTCAAGAGTCTCAGTAAAGATAACCATAACCCTGGGACCATAAGTTGACAAATGTTCTTCTTCTACATTACAATATGGTGTGATATGGGAGTCGTCACTTGCCAAATTTTGGAGGGCTAAAGCTTCCTACACTTGGAAACACCCATATATACTACTTATGATGTACAAAATGTATAGGAGTACTACAAAAAACTTGGACTCAGTGCTTGTGAGAAAAGGACCAAAATTTCACTGGATTCCATATGTAAGATAGTCAACGGGAATTTACCGTGTGGCTCAGGAAACTTAAAACAGGGGCTCTGTATCAAACTAGAAGGGTGGGATGTGGAGGGAGATGGGAGGGAGGTTCCAAAGGGAGCAGATATATGTATACCTATGGCTGATTCATGTTGAGGTTTGACAGAAAACAACAAAATTCTGTAAAGCAATTATCATTCAATTAAAAGGTAAATTAAAAGAAGAATAGACTTGTTGGATGAATATCTGCTTTATGTTCACCTTGGAGAAAGTTGCATGGGATGCTAAGGACCTTTTTAATGAGGAACATTTTTGGTCAGGAGTTTCCTGCTTCTTCAGCCAGTGTGGACAGACTACTTCTCTTTACCAGAGCCGCAGAGTCTTTGTGTGTTAAACTTTTTAGATAAATTTAGCTGAGAACTTCTGCAAAAAGACTGACTTTTATGTTAACAGGATTGTATTTCTATTATGTTGCAACCTGCTGTATCATGAGACTGCCACTTTTCTGTTTTCTGCTAAGCTCAAGGCCAGAAGATAATGTACAAAAAATCCATGGGAAAAGACTCTCATAAACAAAAATATACAGAGAACACCTGGTTTCGTGAAGGACAAGCTGATGTAATGTTAAGTCTGTATGCTTATCTGCCCCCTTAGAAATGTATCAACTTAGGGTAGAAAGGCTATGGTGAAAAATAAAGCAACTGCCAGACTCTGCCGCATATCCTGGTCTGGTCTCTCTCTCTCTCTCTCTCTCTCATTCGCCGACGCCGTTCATCCTGAGGGATGATCCTGCTGGGGCTGGACCCTGGCACATAGCGAAAACTCTGTTAAGGTTTTTATCTACCTACTGACTGTTTTCAAAATCTGCCAGATGACATTTTTTCCAATTTTCGCCTCGTTTCTTCATCCCAGTAGTCAAGAATCTCAGTAATGATAACCTGGGACCATGACTTGAGAAATGTTCTTCTTCTACATTACAATATGGTGTGATATAGGAGTCGTCACTTGCCAAATTTTGGAGGTCTAAACCTTCCTGCACACGGAAACACCCATATATACTATGATGTACAAAATGTATAGGAGCACTACAAAAACCTTGGACTCAGTGCTTGTGAGAAAAGGACAAAAATATTCTCTAAAAAA